TCCCCGCGAGGTCGTTGTGATGATTTGTTTGCCCTTTTAAATTATTCTTCTAAGATATGAAAAAATATGTGGGGCGACGGCGACGGATCCACGAGGGCGGGGTTTAAAACATCTACGTGGATCCTTAATGGGTGTATATATAGGAAACATAAATGTTTTAAATTGCTTGGAGGGGTGCCTGATTTTGCAGGGCAAGATGAAAAGAAATGTACTTTGGGGCGGGATATCATCTTCAGCATATAACACACCGTAATCTTAGGTTTTTTTAAAATTTTCGCCAAGATGTTTTGTCAAAACTATAGCAGTGTAAAAGAAACTATTTCTAGCAGCTTTGAGGTGCGAATGCACGATTTTTTGAGGCGGCAGCTTCACTTGCTAGAATACAAACTGCCGGAAGACCGTCGTTTTCGAGTTGTTTCCCCTGCCGCCATCCCCCTCGCGGCTGGGGGGTCTCGGTGGGGGGGTCCTGGGAGTCGGGGGGTGGAGCAGGAGGCGGCCCTGAAGGGGGCGGAGTTTGAGGTCTCTCTGTAAGCAGGCGATTGCAGATTTAGAGAAGCTCATCAAAGAAGTGGTCGTTGGGCGACATGCTAATTGTCTCACCTGTGGTGGAGACCCCCCCGTCCTCGTGGTAGCGGTGCCTGTTGTAGTACGTGTGGGGGGGTTTAGGTGGAGCCGGTCCCTTCGTGGACAACTTCTCAGAACTCGAAGCCCTCCTGAGGAGACAAGATGAGCTAACATGTTAGCGACGGAGCTAGCATTGCCTAACGGACATAGACCTGTCAATCAGCATGTAGCCCCGCCCTAAAGCGTCCCCTGCTCTATGGTCTGTTTGACTTTAAATGGACCATAATTCACTAAATGAACATCATGTTGTGTTGAAGAAGACTTGAAACTAGAGACTGAGACATAAACTCATGTTTACAATGTTTACTGAGGGAATAAATCAAGAGAGAAGTAGAGTCATTTCCTCATAGACGTCTATGGGAGCAGAGGAGTCGCCCCCTGCTGGTCACTACAGAGAAGTAGAGTCATTTCCTCATAGACGTCTATGGGAGCAGAGGAGTCGCCCCCTGCTGGTGACTACAGAGAAGTAGAGTCATTTCCTCATAGACGTCTATGGGAGCAGAGGAGTCGCCCCCTGCTGGTCACTACAGAGAAGTAGAGTCATTTCCTCATAGACGTCTATGGGAGCAGAGGAGTCGCCCCCTGCTGGTCACTACAGAGAAGTAGAGTCATTTCCTCATAGACGTCTATGGGAGCAGAGGAGTCGCCCCCTGCTGGTCACTACAGAGAAGTAGAGTCATTTCCTCATAGACGTCTATGGGAGCAGAGGAGTCGCCCCCTGCTGGTCACTACAGAGAAGTAGAGTCATTTCCTCATAGACGTCTATGGGAGCGGAGGAGTCGCCCCCTGCTGGTCACTACAGAGAAGTAGAGTCATTTCCTCATAGACGTCTATGGGAGCAGAGGAGTCGCCCCCTGCTGGTCACTACAGAGAAGTAGAGTCATTTCCTCATAGACGTCTATGGGAGCAGAGGAGTCGCCCCCTGCTGGTCACCACACAGAATGCAGCTTTAACACGTGAAGCTTTAGAAGAACTGGACGTTGATCTCTGAGCAGGTTCTTTCATCTCCATCAGCCTTTTACAATTATTTTCTTCTTGTCCTGAACCAACTGCTGCTAAAACCTTTCTCCTCAGTCTTCGGAGGCCGAGGCGCCTGAAAGGACCGGAGGCGTCGTGGGTCTTTTCTAATTCACCTGCTCATTAAGGGAAAGGTCCTGCTAGCGGGGAGGTTCCCGTCCCGCGGCCTCCCGCCCACAGGCCAGATGTGAAAAGGGAAGCTGGCAGGAAGCTGCTTTCAGAGACGCTTTTATGTCTGCGTTCGTTTTTAGACTATTTATGGAAATCAAATCAACGGCGGAATAAAACGACAGCTTAACAGATGATTGCTTTTAAAATAAAGAGTGTTGATGTTTTTCTTCTATTCTTTCCAGATATTTAGTAGTAAATGATTGAGTGATTAAAGTAGTTTGTGAACAACTGTTGTGTCAAGACGTCACGATAAAGACAAACTCTAGTTTAAATACTTAAGTACTAAAGACTCGTTAGAAGACGCATTTTGAATCACACACTTGTTCTGATGAAGACCGGAAGGAGAAAACGTGACGACCCGGAGACCGATCAGCGAGGACTGAGGGGGACGCAAAGACGCCATAGACGGCTCAGTTAGAGAGCTGTCAATCAGTGTTTAGCCCCGCCCCTAAATGCTTTATCATAAATTTGACAAATAGGTAAATAAAAGATACTTGTTGTGTTTCCTCAAGGAAGCTTTTGTCTGGATGAAAGCTTCAGTCTACATCTTCTTAGTGCGGATTTAACCTCTGACCCCGTCAACACTGTGATGCAAACGCCCGCGTGTGCGTCTGTGTGTGCGTCTGAGTGTGCGTCTGTGTGTGCGTCTGTGTGTGCGTCTGAGTGTGCGTCTGTGTGTGCGTCTGTGTGTGCGTCTGTCTGTGCGTCTGTGTGTGGGTCTGTGTGTGCGTCTGTGTGTGCGTCTGAGTGTGCGTCTGAGTGTGCGTCTGTGTGTGCGTCTGTGTGTGCGTCTGTGTGTGCGTCTGTGTGTGCGTCTGAGTGTGCGTCTGTGTGCTAATAAACAAAAGTGCACACATCGTCAAAATGGAATAAAAATATTAATAAGAAAATAAATAAATAAAACACAGTAGCATATTTTTGCCGTCCTTCTGCTTTTGGAGTCTGTTCTCAGCATTATGCTGCAAATTTAGTAAATGAGATCGATGTTGTGCAGAATAATCAAGAGCGTCTTAGATAATCTCTATAAAGCACCGACACACACACACACACACACACACACACGTGCACGCGCACACACACACACACACACGTGCACGCGCACACACACACACACAGTTTTCTTTTACAGTTGAAGCATAAGCAGCATCACACTAATAATGTACTAAATGTCACGTAGACCTTTCATCTCAATGATTAAATTAAACTAGTGAACTAATTTGTAGAACAGTAAAACTGCCTTTAGATCATCGTCTGTCTGTCTGTCTGTCTGTCTGTCTCTTCATTAAACATGACACACGTCAGTAAACAGCTGGACGAGCTTTGAAATCACGGATTACGTGTTTTTGGTTTGTTTTTTAGGAAACGTCGGACCAGTTGCGACGTAACGTTTTCAGCAGTGCTAATGTGGTTCATTTATCACTAAACAACGTCGGGGGTTTTCACTGTCGCCTGTTTGTCCGACGCAGCAGCCGTTTGGAAAATACGGGACGAATGTGTCCGTGATGAAAAGCAGCAGTGTGGATGAACGGGGCAAAAGACGCAGAAACATGTGGCAGCCTTCAGAGCAGGACGAGGACGAGGACGAGGAGGGAGGAGGAGGGAGGACGAGGAGGAGGACGAGGAGGGTCGGGGCGAAATTCTCACAAGAACTCAAATAAATGTCGGTCAGATATCAAAACACAGGCATTATTTTTATTCTTAAATATTAAATGAAGAAACCATCGGGCTCTTTCCTCATCAGGGGGTCTACCCGTGTCAATGTGCTCGTTTACCCGGAGTCTTCAGAGTCGCTGCCGGTGGACTCGGAGCCGCTTTGGAGCTTCTTCACCCAAAGAAGCAGAATTTCTCTGCTGGAAGCTGAAAACAGGAACTGACTGTTGTCCTTCAGTCTGACACACAAAGACACAACACACACAGTTAGAACAACACACACATTCAACAACAAGGAAAATGTTTCAAACAGCTCAATATATTATTATTAATATAAATATATATTTATAATTGATCTCGGAGCCGTTGAAGGTGAAACTAACATGAAATAAATGAATATTAATAACCAGCATGGAGGAGGAGCTCACATGAGTCTGAAGGTGTTCTCCTTCCTGCGGTGGTGGGCGGTCTCTCTGCACACGGCTCCGCCCACATTGACTGGAGGCCACCTGGAGGATCTCTGAGGAAACATTGCAGGTCATTTAGCTGACGCTTTTATCCAAAGCGACTTATATGGCATTTTATTTTTAACCCATGGCTCTTTTTATATTTTGCCCACAGAGCAATTAGGGTTTAGGTGTCTTGCTCAGGGACACTTCAACATGGGGCAGCTGGGGTTCGAACCACCAACCTTGCGGTTCCTGGTGCACCTGCTCTACTCCTGCGCCACGACGAAACATCACGGCTAGTTTCAGCAGGTCCACCAGCAACATGTCGGATGTCATTAAAGTACCAAGAGTTAAAAGTCCGCCATATTTAACGTATTAATAAAAACGTGCGTTACCTCGTCGGCGGACGCTCTGTCTTTGAAGAGGCCAAAGGTCTCTCCTTCCAGGACCGCAAACACCTCCTCCCAGTGCTCCATCCCCTGCAGGAGGAGCAGCCAATCACAGTGGTGCAAAAGCACAGCTCTCAGCCAATCACAGCCAGGCACAGCTCTCAGCCAATCACAGCCAGGCAAAGGAACGGCTCTCAGCCAATCACAGCCAGGCAAAGGAACGGCTCTCAGCCAATCACAGTGGTGCAAAAGCACAGCTCTCAGCCAATCACAGCCAGACACAGCTCTCAGCCAATCACAGTGGTGCAAAAACACAGCTCTCAGCCAATCACAGCCAGGCAGTAACACTGTTCTCAGTGCGTGTTTTTACGCTGCCATTACTACATATTAAATGTTATACTTTGTTAAAGTAATTTATAGATTTGTTTTTCTCCTCTATGAACACATATCAAAAGATAATTCATACTGATTAAAACAACTCTTCATCATCATATGTAAAGCTGTATAATAATGCGCTTGGAGGTCGTTGCCGATGACAACCTGACGTTTTACCGTAGCATCTGCCCAGAGCCGTGTGGTAGTTTCACTTTTCTCACCTTGTTTCCTCCTTGCTTCAGTTTGATCTCCAGTGTCCCCTCCATCCTGATTGGCTGCTCAGTCACCTGACAACATCACAGAGAGCGCCGACCAATCAGCATTTGGTAACAACCGTGAAGTCGAGACGGCTGAGGAGACGGGGCGCTCACCTCGGGTGGGGCTTCTTCCTCCACCGCGTCCTCTGATGTCCGGTGTTCCCGCGGCGGAGCCGGGTCAGCTGACCCGCTCTCCTCCTCTGTGATTGGTGTAGCGGCTGTCGGGGGGGCGGGTGGTGGAGCCGGTTCAGAACCGGGAGGCGTGTCGTGGAGCTCCACCCTTGTCACGGGCGGGGCAGAGTCGGGGGTGGGGTGATGTCTTTCCTCAGTGGGAGGAGGCAGCGGCTCAGTGGGAGCATTGAGCGCTCTGATTGGTGGGGGGGAGTCAGGTGATGAGTTGTGGGAGGAGATTCCGGGCTTTGGAGCCAGGGGGGGTTTGGCTCGGGGACAACAGTCCTTCGCAGGGGAGGAGGAAGAAGAAAGGGAGGTCTTAGAGGAGGAGGGGGGACGTTCGAGAGAAGAGGAGTACGGTGAGGAGGTGCGACCAGCAGGAGGACTAACAGCGTCTTCGCCCGCCTCCCGTTTCTTCCTGCCTGGACTGAAGCCCCTCCTGGCCTGGGGGCTGGGGGAGGGGCTAGCAGAGTTCAAGTGGCTTCTTGTCCCGTTCAGCGTGGACGATGAGACGGATTCGTTCATTCTGGGGACGACGTCCCTGGAGGAGGAGGTCTTTGGAGTCAACGGTTTGCTTCTCGGGGACGAAACCTTGGCTGGAGTTTCTCTGTCCTGAAGCTCCGAGGTTCCATCGAGTCGCTTCTCTCTCTGAGAGGAAAAGAGGAAACATTAGAGCGGCAGAAGAAGAGCGCCGTCCGGCTCTACGGAACCACAACCAACACACCGACCTGGGTTTTCTTCTTCTGTAGTGCGATGAAGCGGTCGTTCTGGGCCTGGATCATGGCCTCCAGGTCCTCCTGCCTCTTCAGGAGCTCCACCACATCCGACACGGAGTCCTGGAGGAAACACAACAGCGTTCCCTGTTTAGATCCATCGCATACCGAAAGTGACCAAATATGGTCTGAGGAGGACGTGTTTACATCTCTATTAGAGACCTGTCAATCAGCGTGTGGCCCCGCCCTAAAGCATCCTCTACTTTCTGGTCTGTTTGACTCTAAATGGACCGTAATTTACTAAATGAACATCATGCTGTGTTGAAGAAGAGTCGCCCCCTGCTGGTCACTAGAGCATAAAATCATCAGAGGGAACTTGCAAAATAATGAAAATAATGTTAGTATGAATTGAACATATATAATAATTCTGGGTAATTCCCTCCGAAATGTGGACTTATAAAAAGGACCCCGTGGAGCTCTCCTCACCCCGAAGTCCTCGGCCGTCAGCGAGCTCTCGTAGGAGCTCAGCCAGCGCTCCGCCTGCTGCAGCTCCTTCTGCAGGAGGGAGATCTCCAGCTCCTCCTCATACAGGAGCCTGGTCTCCTCCCAAAGCTTCTCCACCCGCAGCTCCAGCCCCTCCAGCTCCAACACGCGCTCCTCCACCTAAGGGTGGAGGGGTGTCAGGTGAGATGTGGAGCCCAACGTCCCCACGAGGTTTGAGTCTGTGAGGTCACCATGACAACCTCCAAAACTATGATGCAAGAAGGTATTCATTCCATACTTTTTACTGTTACAGGCTCCGTCCTCAAAAGACGAGGTCATTCTAAATAAGGATGATTTTGTTCCATCTCTAATGTTTGTGTATATTTAATACTCCATGCTGATTTCCCCGTGTTTAACATCCAAATGCAGTGAATTGTGGGTAATTGTGGGCAAAAGGGATCATAAAGGAGAGGGAGTCAAACGCTGGATGATGAGACAGAAACAAATCCTCACGGACTCAGAAGGAGTCTCGAGGGTGGAGATCGGGTTTTGGTGTTTTACCTCTTTTGACATGAAGGTCCCGCCCTCCATCAGGCTCCTCCCCTCATCCTTGGCGGCCTCTGATTTGCAGAGCAGTCTGTCCATCTGGACACGGTGCTCCTGATGCTTCTTCAGGAGCTGCTCCGGGTCGCCTCCCCCCACGCCCAGCACCTCCCCTCCAACCAGAGACAGCGTCTCCCTCAGCCAGGCTCTGGATGGGGGGGGACACGAGAAAGACGTGACAGGGAAGTCTTTTATTTTGAAAGTTCAAGTGTTCCTAATGTTTGTTCCTCTCAGTCTGAAGCTTGTGTGTTTCTACCAGTGCTCTGCGGGTCAATGGTGACTCTTCCTCCCCGTGTAGGTGTGTGAGTGTGTGAGTGATGGTTCTGTGTCTCTCCTGGAGACCAGTCCAGTGGACCCGTCCCCCCCCCCATGCTAGCAGGGATTGAGTCCGGCCCCCGAGAACCCTCTCAGATTGACTGACATTAAAGTGATGAATGTGTGGACCCCTTTAATGCTGCTAAACTACATATTGTTACAATATGAAGGATGACAATTATAATCATAGTTATTACGTTTAAACGATGAGTTTTGTCATCAAGTTATTATTTGAATGTTAATCTCATAAACAGTAAATATGTTTCAAAGAGGACCTACACCAGCTGGCTCCCATGGGACAGGTATCTCTGCACCTCCTGGGCCCGGTCCAGCCGGGCTCGGCGCCGGGAGGCCTTGTCCCGGATGGCGGTCCAGCCGGCCTCCACCTCCTCCAGCCTCCGAGTCACCGCGGCGCTGACCTCGGGCCGGCGCCGGCTCAGGGCCCGGCCCTCCTCCCGGGTCCTGGTGGCCTCCTCCTGGATCAGGACCAGGTCCCTCTGAAGGGACACAGGACCGACGAGGTGGACTCAACGTGTACTCAAGTACAACTTTGAGGTACTTGTGATTCATAAGAATACTTATATTTTTCTGCTCTGAAACAACAAATAATATTTTCCTTTTATTTTCCATTTATTTAACTTGAGTGACTGAAGATTCACATTAATGATACGAAATCAAATCAAATAATTAATTATAATGTTTTGTTATTATTATTCCAAGAGGAAAATACACAATTAGTTTGTTGTAATTTATCAATGTGAAGGGCTTCGTAAAGGATCTAAAACTAAATAATAGAAATGAAAAAAAGTACCATTTGGGAGCTTTTTATTTCCCCTCCAAAATAAAAGCCATCCCCCTACCTCCAGCGCCTCGTGCTGCCTCAGCAGAGTCGGGATGGAGTGCAGGTCCTGGTCCTCGGAGTCCAGCACGGCCTCCTTCTGAGCCATCCAGCCCCTCAGCTCGTCCACGTCGTGATGGAACTGATGGAGCTCCCGAGCCGACCGCAGGTTCTGGAGGATGCGGAAATAAAACCCGATACCTGAGAGTAGGTCCATGTCGGCCGAAACAGGATGCTTGTTGCTGCTCCACAAGGATCAAGGAGTCAAAATGTTCATCTTTTACTTTGTTAAAGGCATTCATATGGTAGTTTACATAAAAACATACAGTTCAAATTATTAGGAGATAAAATATGTCATATTAATTAGCTGTTGGCCGTTAGCGGTGCTGCTAATATAAACACTGATTGTTTACAATCTTCTTATTTCTGCATATTTATAAATGATCTATGAAAAATAACTTTATCTTTAAATTGTATGTTCGTATTTTAGGGGGACTTTTTGACATCTGTCAAAGGACAGGATAACTCTAGTATTGATAATATTGATGTGGAATGTCCCTACAAAATAAACCTATACACACAAAGGCATCCGATCCACCTCTGCACCTGTTCTCTGGTCCTGATGCTGCCCATGAGGTCGTCCCACAGCCCGCTGAGGCCCTCGTCCCTCCTCCGGACCTCGCTGTACGGCTGCAGCCCCCCAACCAGCTGCTGTACCGAGGTCAGGCGGCTCCGACCCAGACCCGAAACCTCCGACACCAGAACCTCCAGCTTCTTCTGATGGACCTGCAGGTGTAGGAAGAGGTTTCAAAACCCATTACCCACGTTAGTCTAAACTACTTCCAGGTATTCGGACCCACCTCTACGTCCTCCAGATCTTGTCCGCAGTCCATGGACTCTGCCAGGGTCTTCTTGGAGGTCAGCCATGTTTGTAGTTCTTTGGCTTCCCTCTCAAAAACAAAGAGGCGGAGCTGGTCTTCCAGAGCGGCGCGACGAGTAGCGGAGAGCTGGAGGAGATTCTCCAGGCCTTCAGGGACGCCTGGGAGACACTCGCTGACCAGGTGGCTGGGACAGACACGCAAAGACACTTTCATTTCTCTGGTCTGTGTGCAGGTGTTCAGAACAGGAGTCTTAAGGTGTCTCTGTGTACCTGTTGGGATGTCCCAGGAGCTGCAGTGAGGCTCCTCTCTGCTGCAGCTCTTCCACCGTCCTCCTCTGGTTCTCCAGCTCCACGTCCACAGAGTCCAGCCTCCTCAGCAGGGCCTCCGTCACCTCTTCGCTCCTCCCGCAGTCCCGAGACTCCAGACCGGTCCGCTGCTCCGCCAACCACAGCTGCAGCTCAGAGACCTCAACACACGGGTTTATGGAGTAAGAGTGGGAATCACCATATGAAGTTATTATGATGCCCAAGTCGTGATATCATATCATCCCGATATCATACGGTCACAATGTGATATGGTAACGACAGGTCACCACAACATGATGTTACCATGATATATCATCACAACATGATGTTACCATGATATATCATCACAACATGATGTTACCATGACATGTCATCACAACATGATGTTACCATGATAAATCACCACAACATGATGTTACCATGATATATCACCACAACATGATGTTACCATGATATATCACCACAACATGATGTTACCATGATAAATCACCACAACATGATGTTACCATGATATATCACCACAACATGATGTTACCATGATATATCACCACAACATGATGTTACCATGATATATCACCACAACATGATGTTACCATGATATATCATCACAACATGATGTTACCATGATATATCATCACAACATGATGTTACCATGACATGTCATCACAACATGATGTTACCATGATAAATCACCACAACATGATGTTACCATGATATATCACCACAACATGATGTTACCATGATATATCACCACAACATGATGTTACCATGATATATCACCACAACATGATGTTACCATGACATATCACCACAACATGATGTTACCATGATATATCACCACAACATGATGTTACCATGACATATCACCACAACATGATGTTACCATGACATATCACCACAACATGATGTTACCATGACATATCACCACAACATGATGTTACCATGACATATCACCACAACATGATGTTACCATGACATATCACCACAACATGATGTTACCATGACATATCATCACAACATGATGTTACCATGATATATCACCACAACATGATGTTACCATGACATATCACCACAACATGATGTTACCATGACATATCACCACAACATGATGTTACCATGACATATCACCACAACATGATGTTACCATGACATATCACCACAACATGATGTTACCATGATAAATCACCACAACATGATGTTACCATGACATATCACCACAACATGATGTTACCATGACATATCACCACAACATGATGTTACCATGACATATCACCACAACATGATGTTACCATGACATATCACCACAACATGATGTTACCATGATATATCACCACAACATGATGTTACCATGACATATCACCACAACATGATGTTACCATGATAAATCACCACAACATGATGTTACCATGATAAATCACCACAACATGATGTTACCATGACATATCACCACAACATGATGTTACCATGACATATCACCACAACATGATGATAGATCAACAACAATAGAGACAGTCTATTAAACCAGAAGGGCCAATGCATTTACTTACAAATGCCATTTTAAATTCATCTCATATCACTTGGTTGCTTTTTAGCTGTACTTAGATGGGGTGTATACATTTACTTAATTTGCACTACAATGATGGTAATGAAATTAATAAGCTTCAAGTGAACATGGGGGTGTGTTTGTGAGTGTGTGTGTAGTATAGAGAACAAATTAATAATTGGACAGTCGAATAGAATATATAAATATAAATATATATCTCCACTGTTTTGGGAAAATTAAGATCTAGCTTTTCCTGCAGGATGTTAAACCTGGTCTTAATGCATCAAGGCTGTTCTCCTCCTCACGTGGAGGAGCTCATTGCGCCTCATGATGGCGTTTCAACGGGCTCTGAGCTCATGAGACGCTGGTTTAGTGCTGCAGTCAGAAGTATGACCGTCTTTTTATTTGTAATTTGCCGCTACCTGTCTCGTCTGTCCACAGTATTGAGACGAGGTCATCAGCAATCGGTCTGTGCTTTAAGTCACGACAGTAAATACGACCAAAGATGCGCCGGTCGATAAGTGTGCCGTCAAGTTTAAATCACAACCGTCTTTTTCCAGCTTTTGTTCCGGGTCCAGATGGGACGGCGTCTGGGTCCGGACCCGGGCCGCGGTCCGCCAGTTAGTGACCTCTGCCATCTGATATTGTCACAATGCTTCTCCCGGCTGTCCACCAATGAGCTCTCACCTCAGAGAGGAAGCTGTGGATGGTGAGCGCCTCCTGTAGGAGTTTCCCCTTCCTCTCCGCCTCCGTCAGCAGCTCCCGGTGGAGACCCTCCAACTCCTCCAGACGGTCGCGGATGTCGACCCACGCAAAGTGACGACCTTTGACCTGAGAGGGGTGGATATTATTCATCACTTTATTCCCTACGTCGCAAAATAAGAACTTCAATACTGAGTGACGGCTCGGCACCAGACTATGCCCCGCCTCCTGAACGGCCTGGACCAATGGGCTGCGGCTCTGGATCTCCTGCATCACAGCCTGATGAAAGCAGGAAGGTTAAGGGGGCTTTTAATTGGGACTTAATAACTATTGTCTAACAGTCCACTTCAATGATTGCTGCCGAATCGCGTTCAATGGTTCCCGGCGTGCATGTCGACCTGGTGCCGGTGGAGCAGCTGCTGGGTGCCGCTCAGCGAGACCCCCCAGTCCCCGGAGGTGACGTTCGGCAGTCTTTCGCTCAGCCAGGCCACCTCCTCCTCCAGGTCTCTGTAGAACTGGAACAGAACCTGCCGGGCCTCCAGGGTGTCCCTTCGGCTCTGCAGGGGCTCTGCCAGACTGTTGTACCTGGCGGGGAGGAGCTACTGGTGAGATGTTGGGTAACGAGAGTTCAGCAGCACTCAGCTTGTTTTATTTGGTATTCAGCTTTTGTTGCAGTAAAGTGGACCTCCACCTCCAACGAAGAACAAGAGATCCACACAAGTATTCGGAATAAACTAAAAACAAAGAATACTATATCTCAGAGGTACACATTGTACTTTCCACCGTATCTCAGAATACTTGCTCCCCCTCAGCTGTCAAACCTGTTGATGATGTGTGCCACTCTGATCTGGATCTCCTCGGCCAGGAAGTTCCCCTGAGAGTGGAAGCCCTTCGCCGTTTCCACCAGAGCCTGAAACACAAGACAATAAACAGGATCCACCAACCGATCAACCATCACCGGCCCTCGGACGTAGACGTGGCAGAGAGGGGGCGGGGCTTACCTGGACTCTGTCCCGGTGTCCGTCCACTTCCTCCTCCAGGCCCTGCAGAGCCTTCAGCAGCCTGTTGACGGAGGGCAGGTCGCTGCCCTGCTCCTCCTGCATCAGCTCCCTCTCCACGGAGCCCACGCACCGCTCCATGTCGTCCAGGGAGCGCTGGAACTGCAGCGCCTGAACGCACACGACGCACACGACGCACACAACGCACACAACGCACACAACGCACACGCTGACTTTCTAGTGAGCGTCTCCTCTGCACTTTTCACAGAACCACTGAATCAATCAGGGAGATTTAAAGGGACGGTGTGTGAGATTTAGTGACATCTAAGACTACAATAATCCCACATGCATGTGTGTGTGTGTGTGTGTGTGTGTGTGTGTGTGTACCTGGTAGGCCTCCTGCAGTCTGCTCCTCTTCTCCTTACAGAGGTGGATGAGAGCCTCCCAGCTGTCCCTCAGTTCTCTGAGACGAAGCCCAACCTTCACCTCCGAGAGCAGCTCCTCTGCTTCCTGTGCACACACACACACACGCGCGCACACACACACACACACACACACGCGCACACACACACACACACACACACACACAGGTAATACTATATAATCAGTGTTTCCTATACATTCTAACAGGGAGCACCAGAGCGACTATATGTATATTATGATCGTCATCATAATAGAGTGTAAACCTTGGTGAGCGCGTCCACTCGGGAGCGGTTGGCGTGGATCTCGGCCTCGAAGCTCTGATGTTTGAGCAGTTTGGCCTGAAGGTTGGTTGGTTCCTTCCAGTTCTCATCCAGAGCTACGGCGCTACGCTCGCTGAGCCACACACACACCTGAGGACACACGCACGCACGTTACCACATGCACGCACAAACACACACACAGTACAGTCTGATGGATTCACTACCTCGTAGCTGCTGGACAAGAACTGCTGCAGCTTCAGGGATTCATCCAGAGCTTTGTGACGACATCTGCTCTGCTGCTGCAGCTGGCTCCTCCTACAGACAGACAGGTGAGGAGACAGAGAGACAGGCAGGTGATGATGTCATATCCTGTCCTCACCTAGCGCCCAGCGCTCTGATCTTGGCTGCGATGTTGTCCGAGTCGTAGTGTTTCTGTTGGATCATCTTCAGGCCCAGTTTCTCCACCTGGTCCACCTGGTCCAGCTGAGCCTCCAGGGCCTCCTCGAACTGAGCCTGCTTCCTCTGCAGAGATTCCACCTCCTGCACCGAGCTCTGCACACACCACAGAGGAAGAGGAATAAGGAGAAATGGAAGAGGAAGAAAATAAAAAAGAAGAGGATAACAAAGAGGAAGAAGAACATGATGAGGCGCTGGAGCTGAACAGGTTCATCTCCTCTTCATCTGAACGATGCTGGTTCTCACCCCGACCTCCCGGCTGCTGAGCAGAACCTCCTTGTTGGTGAACCAGGTCTCACGTTGGTCTACAGCATCCAGGAACTCCTGCAGGATGAAGACTGTGATCACATCTCAGTCCTCCTCATCCGGGTTCTTAATGTCTTGATATGAAACTTGGTGTTGTGCTGTGAGTTTATGCCATGAGAAATGTATTGACATAATATTCTGTATTTCATTTATTTTTAAGTGTTATTCATGTGTTGAGCCTACTGATGAAAGAATCGCATTAGATACACGTTTGCAGTATTAAGATTAAGTCTGAGAGACACTTGCTTTTTTCTGCTCCCCCTTCACAATAAAAGCCGTGACATGCTTTTATTGTGAAGTGGTCTCAGTCAACTTGCAGATGCAGGAGGCTCTGTGGTACAGATCCACATACAGAGACACACGTTTTAAAGTATCCTCACCTGCAGGACTCGAGCCTGCTCCAGGGTGGTGCTCCGGTTGCGCCAGGCCCGGTCCAGTCCAGCCTTTGCTTCCTCCAGCTGGCTCAGGGCTTTCTGGATCTCCGGCCCAGAGCCGTGGCCCGACCGGATCAGACCCAGGCCGAAGTCCCGGACAGAGTCGACGCGCTCGGCCCGGGCCTCCATCTCCGTCTGCGGCGACACGGTTTACGAGTGATTCACTAAAAGCAGAAGATCTCCATGGCAACCGGACCGGGCCCCGACGGCTCTCACCTTCCGATCCCGGTGCTCCACCGCCAGCCGGTCCGCCTCGGCCCGGGTCCTGGGAAGACCTTTGTCCGCCAGCTCGCCGGTCTGTTTGAGGCTCCAGTCCAGCAGGAGGCGCTGGTTGGCTTTGAAGAGCTGCAGCTGGTGGGCCTCCTGCAGCTTCTCCTTCCTGGACAGACAGTGGATCACTGAGTCCGGGTCCACTGTCCCCCTAAGTGTCCCCAGACAGACCTGAGCCCTCAGTGTAATATTGTCTTCATCTCACCTGAGTTTCACCTCCCTCTCCAGAGAGGTCAGAGCGCTCTGCGCCTCCTTCTGTTTCTTCTTCAGCTCGTTGCTCATCACCGACGGGGCCTTCAGGTGGTGAGAGACCTCCTTCTGCAGGTCCTGAGTAAAGACAGAGGGAGCCCCCGCCCCCACCTTTACTTCCTCATGCTTCATTTGGGGCATAAACTCCATGCAACAAGCCCCACCCCCCACACTGACCTTTGACCTCTCGTGGATGACCCCAACCTCCCGCTCCGTTTCCTCGTGGCGTCTGATCAGGTTCTCCACGCTGTCCACGTCCACGCCGCAGTCCTGACCCAGCAGCATCTGCAGGGAAGGAGGAGGGGCTTAACTTTGCTGACCTCTGACCTCGACCCCCCCCTGAGCCCCAAAACCCGATCAGCTGTAGAACCAAATACATGTTCTAGTTCTTCTCCACTTCTAGTCAACATGGTTCTGTTTCCAAAGAGCAGCGGTGCTTTTATTTTGAAGGGAGAAACCAAAATCACAGAGAGAAGGAAGTTCTTCTGGGTCGAAGGTCATCATGTGACTGACCTTCTCGTTGGCTCGGTCTCTGACCTCCTCCAGCTCTCTGATGAGGCCGTGCACCACCAGCGCCGCCTCCACCTTCCTCCTGTAACTGACCAGGTCTCCGTGAAATTTACTCCACCTGGAAGAGAACACAGGTGAGACCAGGGGAGAAGCCGGAGGACACAGGTGAGCCCCCAGGTGAGCCCGGCTGTGTCTCACCTGTCGTTGAGCTGCTGTCTCCTCCGTCTCACTGTCCCCAGCTGGTCGGCGCTCTGTCTCTTCTCCAGTCGAGCGGCCCGTCTGTTGATGGCGGTGATGTGGGCGTCGTCCACCGTCACCTCCTTCAGGTACGAATACACGTCTATTTATTACACATCCTGTTTGTGGGTAACATTTAAAGTCCTTTCATTTTAGCACTTGGATCGATATTCAGCAACAAGCAGCGTCCACAAACATCAGGGTTAGACATTGCTACAAAATAAAAGCACGACTGAGATATAAAATACACTGAAATAGGACAATGTATCTTTTTATAAAAGTAGGATGAATGAATGAATTCACCCGCTCTCCGGTTCCTCTGAACTCGCTCAGTTTCTTCAGCAGCTGAACTCCGTGTTCATAATCCTTCCCCACATCTCCCACGTTGACCATCACCTCCTGAGACACAGGGGGGGGGGGGGGGGGGACACACTGAAATCAAACTAATATCATTTTGACATTGTGAAATCCCCCACTGTGAACCACCACACAACAATGCCTTTGAAACCCCCCCCCCCCCCCTCACTTTCCTGGCTTGTTTCTGATCCGGGCCTTCTACTCCCCCACATTCTGCCGAAAGTGAGGAAGACACTGTTGTCTTCCAAATACTTGCCTCGGACAGCTAATGCCTTCTTAAAGCACCACAACAGGAACTCATTGGTGGCCCAGCACCTCTTCATACTACTTGGACGCTTGATGGATAAGGGTGAACTGTTCCTCTCATGCCTGCTAGTGTAGGGATAGCTCCTTTACTGAGCACGGTAACACAAAGATCTAGAGCTCTCCGTCGCAAAAGCTCCTCCTCCATATGAAGGTCACGGCCAAGCGGAGCACGGGCTTTAGACCCTATCCTGAAGGCAGAGGCTCCG